GTAACCGTATGTACTCACAATCAATATTTACAACTGAGAGAGAAGGGCTACAAACGAGTCGAGTCGAGTCGAGTCGAGCATTGACCTTATCAAGCAAGATTGAGTTATTTTTTTAGCTGCTCGAGCTTGAACTCGAGCTCGACTCGATAAATAATTACAATGGCTCGAGCTCGGCTCGAAATCAAAATGGTCGAGCTCGCCTCGAGTTCGGCTCGAAATTTTTTAAGTGGTAAGGTAAAACTACCATTAAGAAACTATGCTAATATATATAATAAGGGATATTTAATTTAATAATTTAACGCGTATCTCGAGCAGCTCGACAAGACAAAATATGAGCTCGACTCGAGTTCGGTCAAACTCGAGTTCGACTCGAGCGCTCGCGAGCGGCTCGCGACCCCTTGATTCATTTGCAGCACTATCAGGGATGATAGCAAGATTGATCTAGTGCAGAAAACAGAGGATAGATTGAGACTCGTGAGTGGGAAGATAAATAAAGAGGACAAAGATTGCAAAAAGACATGCAAGAAATTGAGTGGTGCAGTTTTTATGTGGGGGAAAAAAGCACTCAGTGGGGGGTGTTGCAGATGATTATTATTGCTTTAACAGATCCAAAAGGACATTTACTTTATGTAAAATGTGCAATCAATGCTCGAACAATGAATTTCACACTGGGTACTGTTCTATGGGTTTAACCGGTGTGAGTCGGTGCCGATGATTGAATTTGCCGTTTAAAAATGGTAATGAAAACAAATTGCATAAGTTATCATATGTGATTCAATTAGTTTTACAATGTAATTATCGATTTATAAATATTAATACCAGTATATAATTTCATTATATATATATATATATAGAGAGAGAGAGAGAGAAAATGATCATATGAGAGTACTAGATAGTGAAAGAAATAATAATGATAATGGACCACTGGATCAATTATATCAATAGACATGATGAAGTCAAAATTGAGTTACAATGGTCAAACCTACAACAAATTAAATTGTAATTAAACCTTGTCAACGATACCTCTCTCTCTCTCTCTCTCTCTCTCTCTCTC